ATTTGTTGTCACTTGTGGCCATGAACAGGAATGGGCAGTCTGGACATCCATTGCTGGGGTGTCCAGTTCCTACAGCCTGCCTCCTTGGGCAATGCACTGACTGCTGACTGAATGTAGAAAAATGATTTCCCAAATGCCCTGCATTTCACATTGCAATGAGCATCATCAGACTCATCATGTATTAAAAAAAAAACTTGCAGATTCAGAAGACTTACACGAGCAAATTTCATTCAGACAACTTTACGGCATACCCTATGAGTCTGCGTTTTAAACTGCTATCCCAGTGACCCTGAGGGCAAGTGGGTGGTTGGATCACTCATGAAGAGACAGCACCTTGATGACAGTGTGCTTTATGAAGTTTGCCTGAGACAACTCTATGAACTGGTCAGTACTTAATACCATCTTCCTCCTAACTGCCAACACACATGCCCTCCTGAACAAAGGGATTTTCCTGACCTTTGGAGTCTACTTTGCCACACATGTGACACACTCCATGCTGGAGAATTAACACCATCTTGATCAACAACTGATAGGTGCAGGGCTGTGGATCCTCTGCTTCCTCCAGCTATCCACTGGAGCAGCTCTGGTGTATACATTTTACACTGGTTTGTGGAATTCTCTACTGGGAGAAGACCGAGAACAAGTTCCAGGTGCCCATAGTGGTACCTGGCTTCCTAACTGCCTCCTTCCGGATTTGCTTCTCTTCCTGACAACTGGGAGGGGTTTCCTCCTCTGGTTAATTGAACTGTCTGCCCTGAAATCTGTCTTAGGTTGTGATTCTGGGAACAAATGAAGATGCCAGAGATGTACATATACCTTACTATAGGTTCCCTGTCTGGGAATTTCCCCCGTGGTCTCATGCGGTGGTTTGAATGAGAATGGCTCCACTAGGTCATATATTTGAGTGATTGGTCCCCAGTTGATGAAACTGCTTTAGGAGGGAGTAGGAGGTGTGACCTTGTTGGAGGAAGTGTGTCACTTGGGATGGGCTTTGAGGTTTCAAAAGTCCACACCAGACCCAGTTTCTCTCTGCCTCCAACTTGTGGATCAGAATGTTCTCCAGTTCTCTGCCTGCCTGCCTGCCATCATGCTTCCTGATGGCAGCCATGCTGATCACCGACTAACCCTCCAAAACTGTAAGCAAGCCATGGGCTAAGTGCTTTCTTTTATAAGCAGCCTTGGTCATGGTGTCTCTTGATACTCCACTCTGCAGGTATGCACTGACTGTGGGAATGAGGAGCACGTTGCTATCATGAGCCTCATTAGCTCTGTGTGATTGACAGTCTAACATGTCTGATCTTGATTCTAGCAGCCAGAGCTTTAATAAACCAAGCAACACCCACATGCCACACTCACTGACACTTTCAGAAGTCCCACAGAGAATGCACTGTCGTGGTTTCCAAAATCTGGGTGGCAATTCCTCTTGGGTAAGTGGCCTTCCTGATTTAATGACTGCCCCCAATCCAGGAACTGCAGCATAAATCTCCACATGTGGGCTACATCTCACAACTTGAGTTAAATGGCCCCCAAACATATGGTATTGTTTTTTGCATTTTCCAACACATGGACAGTTTCTCACATTTTAAATCAACTGAAAATGAGAAGATTATATTCAAATCTTCTTGGAGGATTAACTACCGGGAAATGTGCTTGATTTACATAAATATTTGTGGTGGATAGATGATGAGGTCAGACACTTTGCAAAGACATATTTCATACTGAAGAAAAAATGGAATTCCAAGAAGAGTCAAGGTGGATGATTCTGGAATCACAGGCTTGCTGGAGCTGGACTGCCTGAGCTTCAGCCATGCACTCTTGACTTAGACTGTAGCAAAGGCAAAGCAGAGGGTGGGATGGGGCTAGACAAACTGGGTTTAGATAAGAGGTGTCTTTTCCATATGAATGCTGCTGGACAAGGATCCATCTCAACAGATAGCCTGCCTCCTTTTATGATATTGCTCTGTGTAGATTATAATCTATGTATGAGCCCACGTCAGTTGTTCCGGGGTTTCTGGGTAAAGTCACTGGAAAAACTTGTATGTAGAAAGGTCCTAGTTCCTAGTGACCAGATTTCATGTGGGGGTTTGAGGAAGGATAATTGCATACTATGTAATGGATGATACAAGGTCGAACACCAAGAATACCATCCCTAAGAGAGATCAGGCCCCTTTATTTCTCGGAGGGCTGTATCAGAAAGGGCAGCAGCATGCCTAGAAGACAGTAGTTCTCTGCAGGTGATGATCAATAGGAAAAGGAGAAAAGCAGCTCATTAGCCACTTCTCTCCCTAGCAGTTCACTGGGCCTTGTCAAATTTCCAAAGCCACAGCCAGCTGTGTTGTCCTTGTTATGGAAATACCCACTAGAGCAGTGCCCTCTTGGCTAACACTAGGCATTAACACTGTAGGGACTCTGGGCTGGACCCTGAAGACCAGAATGTGGCCAGCAGCTCTGTTTCGTAGAGTATTTTCAGCCTTGACATGTCTTACTCGTAATGTGCAGAGACACACATAGCAGAGAGACTAGGGAGGGTTTATTCAAACCCATACACTTATCCCGGATAACTCTGCTCAGACAGAGGTCACCAGGCTAGGTGACCTCAGACCCCAGATTGGTGACCTGTATGCACTGTGCTACCTGCATAGAAACCAGGCTGCCAAAACTGCCTCCCTACCTCCAGGGGGAGGAGGGAGCAATTCAAGTTCCCAAGGAAACTCCTCAACTCCCCAGTAGAGTTGCAATCATTGAACCAACTCAGTTCTGCAACATTTTCCGTTTCTCCTCACCTTAAAAGGATGTGTGGTGCCCGCTTATCCCTCCAAGTCCTCCTCTTTCCCTCCAGTTACCTATGGCCACAAAAGCATGCTTTTAACTTCTCCCGCAGAGACAAGCTGTGGAATGAATGGATAGAAAGTAGGATGCTTGATCTGTAGATCTGTTGAGTCTTTGCTAAGAGGGTCTGGGTGGCTTTAGGAAACCAGGGAGGAAGGAGGCTGTGGTCTTCTCGTTAGAAACTTCATGCCTCAATGCCAGCCTTGGGGGAAAGCCAGAACATCGGAAAAGCAATAATCTATGGGGGATTTCAACTCTGATTTCTAGGGCTAGCACTTTCCAAGCATAGCTATAAATCCAGATTCTTCCTTCCTCTGTAGAGAGGGATCAATAATTTTGATCATTTTAGAGTTGATTAGAAAGTTAAAGAAACCCGAAGAGGGTAAAGTTCAAAACCTGTACACTGGAATTCAGGCAGGTGACTTGTTGTTGTTAAGGTTATAAAGTTCATGACGCTTATGAAGTTGAAAATTCTCTGTAGCATACTGGGTCTGCCCTCCTCCCTCCCCCACTCTTCACATTGATTTCATGCCTCCTCCGCCCAGTCCCCAACTCCCTCAGTACACCTCTCTCCTGGGCTCTGGTCTTGGGCTGCAGTTGCGCACGGCTACCTCTAGATGGAACTTTCTCACCAACCCAAAGCCAGGCAGGCCCGAGCACCCTGGTGCAGGGTGGTGCGGGGAGAGGGTTCCCGCCTTCTCTCCGCGGGCCGGCGCCCTGTAGAAGTACCCGGGCGGGTGTAGTCAGCAGGAAGGGGCAAGGAGCTGTGCATTTGGAGCCCAGCGGGTTCCGGGCCACCGAATGTGAGGGAATCCTGAGGTTTCCCGGTGAGCGAGTTGTCGGGAGTTTCATGCCTTGATCTAGGCTCCTCTAATCCTCTCCACAAAATGACAGTCGCCTTGGCTGCCTGGTCCCGCACAGTGCCCGCAGTGGGACTGTGCTGTGTCTCTTCTCCAGCTTCAGGGGCGCGATAGAAGGTGTCCCCTGGCACCCACCGGTCCCGGAGCTACGGGGCAGTACCGAAGGCCAAACAGCCGCTAGCGGGAGGCAAACTTTGCTTGGAAGTGCGTGGCTTGTGGGCGCTACTTTGAACGTCATCGAAAAGAATGCAAGTGTCAGGACACTTGTCATCTGTCATGTCTTCTTCACGGTCACCCGCCTCGGAGCTATGCTCATTGGGAGGGAAGGGGTCCCGGGCTCGCCAGAGCCGTCCCCTTTGCTTCAGGTCGGCGTCGCTTTCCCGCGTGGGTCCCGAGGTCACTGAGCCTCTGTCGCCCTTCTTATACCTCTCCCAGCCACCCCGTTCGTTCCCTATCTTCGAACCGAACCCTCCCTTCTTTCCCCGGGGCGGGGCAGGTGGGGATGATATTTAAACAACAAAAAAACCAGAACTCTGTTATTTCTGGTCCCGGAGTTGATTGGGACTTGAGCGACCGACGAAGGGGTCCCGCCACTGGGGGTGTCCCCGTCCCCCACGCCCGGGACCCTGCCCCTCGGGGATCCTCCTCCCTCTTCCAGGGGTGACTGGTTGGCGCGAAGCGATTGGCGATCCCGGGCGCGATCCCGGGCGCCGATCCACGCGCCGCGTGGGGTGAATGGCCGCGGGAGGAGGACCGGGAGGCGCAGGGCGCAGACCAATAGCGGCCGCCGGTGGGAGTATTTGTTATTCACATGGAAGAGACTCGCCGGTGGCTCGGCCAGCTCAACCCCCTCAGCCCCGAGACCAGCCACAAGTGCGGCCGTGGTGCTCGCCTAGCGCGGTGGCGACGGCGGCGGCGGCGCTGACATGGAGCTGCGGGCCCCCCGGGGGCTTCCTCACCTCGTCTTCTGCGGGGAGCAGGGTAAGACTCCCCAGTGAGCAGCAGGCGCAGAAGAGGACAGCAAGTGCTGAAGCATAGCAAAAAAGCCCCCACCTTTCAACTCTCCCCCAACCCGGAGCTGGCTGCAAAAGTAGGGTTCCTCCCCACCCCCCGATTTTATTGCCGTTTTCATCCCCCCCCCAACCGTGCAGCTGACAGCCAGGTGTATGCTTTCTTCTCAGATTACTTTAATGATCTGCTTTATTTTTTTATTTTTTATTTTTTTTATTTTTTTGCTGGGCACGAGTAGATGGCTTTGCACACTGGAGTCTGGGAAAGAACTGGCGGGCGGAGAAAAGCGGATGGGGAGAGAGGAGGAGTGGGCACCAGGGGGCGAGGGGCTGGCCGGGCATTGGAGCTTGATTGGGTGTCTGTTGATTTTACGTTGCAAATAACAAGGCGGCCACCCCTCTTGTGTTTCCATGATTACATTCCAGTGAAGAGGTGCGGAATAGAGGGAGCTTAGGTTGGAATTCCCAAGACTTAGAGATGTGATCCCCTAAAAGTTTAGACGGTGAACGGGAGATTGAAGGGTGACGGGAGTGGGCAGGCGCTCTTAGGATGCTCTAACCCGGCGTGCGGCGGCAGGGTTTTAAATCGCTCTGCCTGGGATTGCTTGGCCTGAGTGACCTCCTGGACCTGCCCTGGTGGAATCTGGACTTGCCCGGCCGAGATGCCCAGGTACATTGGTTATGCGAATCTAAAGCGAGGGATTTCCGAAGTTAGCGGCTTCCGGGATGAGTTGGGGGTAACCCCCGCCTTCCTGAACACCGGCTAGACGGATATCTAACAAGGATCTGGGGGAAGTGTTGGGGGTTGGGGGAGTGTCGCAGGAAAAGCCTGGTGGTTTAGGGGGGTCTTCGAGACCCGCATCCCCCCGCGTAGCGCTCACACTCTGCCTTGAGTTTGTGGTCCCCGAGTTAGCTCGGCGAGGTTGGGATTTCCTTGCCCCCTCCCCCCAGCTCGGGGGAAAACGCCGGAGTTCTGAGTCCTGTTGGGGGTGGAGGGATCTAGATTCAAGGATCTAGAGTTTCCGAAGCCAAGGCTCCCTGCAGCTCCTTCGCGGCACCCACGGTCAGAGTGGCCCCTGTGTCGGGCAGACCAGTGAGGGGTGTGGGCGTCTGCAGCCAGCAGGTGTGGTGGGGGCGGAGGCGCTCTCGGACGGGTGCGCTCAGGAGCCTGGAGCCTGGGGCTAGGGCGCGCGGGGGTGGTGGTGGCGGGGACTGGGGCGGTGCCGGGTTGCCTGGGAAAAGCTAGAGTAACCGGGTCCTTCCCCGCGGCCCTACACTCTACTCCGCGTAGGGTTTACACGGTCTAAGGAACTGGGAGGGAAAAGGAAGACGCTGCGGGGAGGAGGGGACCCCGGGTGGGGTGAGCGGTTACTGCCTGAGATTTAGAGGGAGACCTCTCAGCCACGAGGGCGGAGTGAGCCCATCTACTCAAAGGGCTCAGAAGTCCCCTGAGGCATAGAGTTGGTGAAAAATAAAACAGAATCATATCCCCACCAGTCCTCCTCCCCCCTTCCCCCCCCCCCCGGTTGGGTTGTCTGACACGCTTCTTTGGTGCAAATGAAATGCAGAGGCGCGTGCGAGTCACCCGTTGCGCAAGAAGGCACCTCAGAGCTTCCCTGAGGAATTGCTTCTAGCCTAAATTGGGGATCCTGGCTTCAAAGGGTGTCTCTGTGCCCAGGATAGTGGTGGTATGTGGATAGCAGAAGACCAAGTCCCCCCCCCCCCCCAGGAGTTCCGCCCCTGGAGGGAATACCTTATTTGTCAATTGGGGGTGATATTTTCCCAAAGAGCCTACAGTCTGGGAATCTTGTGAACACCAGAGAACACACTAGGATCTTGATCATTAATCCTACCAAAAGAACCGAAGACGGGGTTTGCGGTGGAGGTATATCTGCAAGAAAAATTACTGTCAGGATAAATGCATTCCGACGATAGCTTGTGTTTTGCTTGAAAGAAAGATGAAAAGAGAGAAAGAGCCACCAGCAGGTAGATCTTGGATAAACAGCTTATTGCACTTGACTGTAATTTCCATTTTCCGTTATGAAACTGTTTGTCAATAATTGCAAATGGCTACAGGAACCACTCGAGTTTATCTTGGTCACTTGCTTGTGAATAGTATCTTGAAAGATCTCGAGAGGAGACAATCAGCTGTATGAAATGCATTCTCCGGGTCTTGCAAATATATATATATATATATATATATATATATATATATATATATATATATATCTTGATGATTTTGAAAAGATCCCAATTCACTGGGGAAATGGTTTTCTAATGCAATTTTCCTATCTCAGAGTCAACTACAGGTTGTACTACACCCGAAATAATAAAGAGAGTATCTACTCTTAAATAAGGGATGCGGGAACAATTTAGGAAGGGAAGCTTTCCAGGAGACATTTTCTCAGAAGAAAGAAGATGCTGAGCACACAGCTGAATACTGTCTTGTAGGCTCAATTCATTCTGTTTGGTTTATGCTGGTTAGCTTTACCCCCCTCCCCCCCATGCAAGTTATGGCTGATTGGACAATTCTAACCATTCCGATCCAAAAGGAAGATGGAAAAGGATGGGCCCAGCTTAGCTGAACTGGAGTGCAGAAGAAAGTTAGAGGTCTGGAGTGATATGCTCTTTTCAGACTTGGCTGGGCAGGTTGAAGCTGCTTCCGGGCTTGTTTAATTGGTATTTATGCAACAAACAGCCCAGCTGACATTCACATTGGCAGTATCAAGCGCCAATCTTTGTGTAAGAATGTTCTATTGTCTTTAGGGCATGGTGCACTGAGTTCTGCACATGCATGCTTGTGCAATGTTTTTCCTTCTAAGTTTCTTCCCCACTGTCCTCTCCCAATGGGCAACACCAAGAGGACCCTGCTTTAGTCTGTGAGTGCCATTGCTCTGTCTCAGGATTTTAGAAGATGCTGCATAGACTTATCTTTTGCTTGGATCCAGGACAAAAATCTTACCACATCCCAGAGCCTGTTGAATAGGCTGGCTTTGAAAAGTTCAGGAAATTGCTTCTGTTTTCAGGACAGAACCTGGGGTGTTACCAGACTCATACTGGGTTTGCCTAGTAGGAGTGGTCATTCCATGTTGTCCTAGGAGAGGTTGTGAGCCTGGAACTGTGTTGTATTTTTATTTCCATTTCAAGGAAGCTTTTCTTTACTGTTAGGGATTAAGGTTTTCCTTCCTTCCTTCCTTCCTTCCTTCCTTCCTTCCTTCCTTCCTTTCTTCCTCCCTCCCTCCCACTCTTTTCTCCCTTCTCTTCCACTTTTGATTTAAAGTTCTTGGCTTTGGCAAGTTGGAGCAGACTCATCCAGGATCTTGAGCACGGTTTAGCTTTGTCTGGGTCCCATCACTGTGGAAAGAGGGTGCCCAATACAGCTCCTTTCCTTGTTTGGCTATACTTTAGTCTATTAATGATGGTTAGATATTATGGCTTTTCTTAGGAATAGTTTTAAAAACACAGATGTTCCAGTTGGAGGGAGATCATCAGGTCTTGACACCAGTGGTCATAACCCTTAGTGCTAAAAGTATTCTGTTTTCTCACTACTTAAGAGTTTTCCTGCTTTCCCTACAGAAGAATGTTGTGTATTTTAAGAATGGCCCACTGGGCTCTTTGAATATCTGTGGCTTTGACTATCAGGTCAGACACTGTAGCTCCAAGAACTTCTCTTCATGCCTTCCAGTCTTCCTTTGTGCTCCCCCTTTTGGTATGGGCTTTCTAAAGTTGATTCTTGGCCACCTGCCTGTTGCTAAGGTCTGACCGTCTATGCTGGTCATGGGAAAGTGTTTTCCTCAGATCTAAGTATGATGTGCAAGTAAACTGTGTTAGTTCTGGGATGGTTATTAAGCCAATGCTATCCCTGTGCATTCTTATATCGCTTGGCAGTTTAACAAGTTCCTTAATGATCATCATGACATTTGATGTCACACCCAGCAGGAGGGCAGAAATCAGTTCACACTTTAGGGGGAAAAAAGAGGTTAAGTAAATCACCCAAAGACTAGACTCAAGCTTCCAGAGGACCCTGGGCATCCTACTAACACCTTACATAGTCAGGTCAAAGTCTCATGCCCAGAGGCTTTGGGATAGGGGACAGAATGAACTGCAGTTATAGTCCTACATGTGAACTCTGGCCTGAGACTTCAGACAAGAGTCAAATAACCTGTCTGCTCTCAGGTTCTCATGTCCAGATGGGGCTGTGATGCCAACCTTACAGGTGGATTTTAGGAGGAAATGAGACCATGTGTGTGAGGTTCCACTGTCAGCATTCACTCAGTTGGTTTCACTCTTTTCTAATCTGATGCATACTATAAATGTGGTCTTTTTGTGCAATGACTGTTATCTACAAAGAAGGATGCAAATTGAATTCTTCTAAATCAGATTTTTTTTTTTTTAAATGCATGGGGTTTAGGTATTAAAGGAAACCTGTGGTGAATTCCATTGTTATGCAAATAACCACAGTCTAATTTATCTGTTTAGTACTTAAGAGTCTTCTGGATCTGGTTTTCTCAATATCTGCTCTGCTTGTATAAATGAGCCAGCATTTAGAACCTTCTCGCACAGACTGGGGGTGGAGTGGGGGTTATTCGCTTGCAAGCAGAACAGGTTATTGTGCTCAGCTGACAAAGCCTTGGTCTCCTGTTTGAGTAAAATCCCATAGTCCCTTATGATTGAGTAACAAAGTCTTCGACCAGGAAGCAGGAAGACACCTTAGAGTTGATTAGGTCACAGCACTATTTCGGATTAGCAAGTAGAAGCACGGGAAATGCCTGGGTTTGCAGCTATAGGAGCTGATGGCAGTGCTTCCCTGGGATAGCCCTTTGTGTTAAAGAGCTGAACAGACACAGTGCTTCCCCAGGATAGCCCTTTGTGTTAAAGAGCCAAACAGATACAGTGCTTCCCTGGGATAGCCCTTTGTGTTAAAGAGCTGAACAGATACAGTACTTCCCCGGGATAGTCCTTTGTGTTAAAGAGCTGAACAGATACAGTGTTTCCCCAGGATAGCCCTTTGTGTTAAAGAGCTGAACAGATACAGTGTTTCCCCAGGATAGCCCTTTGTGTTAAAGAGCTGAACAGATACAGTGTTTCCCCAGGATAGCCCTTTGTGTTAAAGAGCCAGACAGATACAGCATGGGACTGCTGCTCTCCTGAGAAAAGCTTTTTATTTCTTGGCTAATGATATTTTTTTGCACAAGAACCTTACTCTGTCAGTGCTACACACTGGGGGAAGGCATGGGGTTATTCCTTTGTGCTGGTGGTCATGTTCCATTGGCAGCGGCTGGCCAGGAAACCAGATTGGAAATTTGGAAGTTTGAGTATTTTCCAGGGAAGGATTCAGAAATATCCCTTCTGGAAATTTCCCACAATTGTCCCTTTCTCATTTGCACATTATTGTTTCTTGAGCTAACCATTGGGAAATATATACAACCATAGAAGACTTCCATGGAGTGGTGGGCCCTCACCCTCACTGTACTGTGTCATTGCTGGGGTTATCTCAAAGCACAGGGCCCACCTTAGGGATCTGACGATTTTGGGGTGTTGCTCTTTACTTTCATATAGGGAGCACACAAAGAAAATAAGATGTGAGCGCATGGCACTGGCCTGTAATGCAGTCAGGGAGTTTGTTTGTAAAGACACCCAGGTCTGTAAGACAGTCAGTGTCAGTGGTATAGACCTTAGAGAAGACAGAGAAGGGTAAGATGGGAGAGTGCATGGTTAAGCTTCCTGAGCGTCAGCCACCATCGTGTGACCCAGTAGTACCGACAGCAGCTTGGTGGCCTCAGAATTTCCAGAGAACAGAACTCCCACCTTCTTGAAATGTCTGCCAGGGAAGGAAAGGTTTCAACCAAGCCCAGAGCATGGTAGGTTAGCTTGGGAGGTAAGCTATTTTACTTCAGATCAAACACAGCACATGAAGAAAAGCTCTTTGGAGGCTGTAGCTCAGAAAGGCCATTATTTCTTTGAAAATATTGATTCCAACAATGAGTTTGGATTAAAGTTCAGAAGAATTCTAGGAGAGCTGGATTAAGCAATATAGGATTATGCCGTGAAACATACATAAAGTTTGTAGTTGTTTAGTCTTCCATGGACTTTCACATATTATTTTGGCTTAGAATTTAAAAGAGAAACTGAACCTATCAGCTCTGTGACTTTTATAGCAGTGTATCAGACTCTGAGACAACTGTAATATTTAAATATTTTATACATAGCTCTCATTTTACTTTTCAAGTGATGAGCGGAATTCAGAATTCAGTAAACACTTTACCAACTAGGCGAGTAGTCAAGGATTTGCTCTGCTTTTGATAGAAAAAGAATGGCAGGCCACATTGATGCCTGTTTACTGAGCTTGTACCCTGGGCCAGATACAGTTTTCTAGTATGTACCTGTTGGCAGGTTCTGTCTCCCCTTACAGATAAGAAAACCAAGAGCTAGAGAGCTTGCATGCAACTAATTCCATATTGCAGAGGAGGAAAGTCCAGGAAACATCCATCCAACAAGCTGTCCATTAAGCAATCATCCAAGTAGAACCCCCCCATCCACATCCCATCCCCAGCCCCATGCTACAGCAGATCACAGATGGGATGGATGTTGGGGTGGGCCAACAGGTAATCTTGTTTCTGGGCTTGGGTAGTTGCAGGGTTGGTCAGCCCATCAGATCTTCCCGATCTTTGCCACCAGGGTAAGCTCTCCAGGGTTGCCCTAGCTAGTTCATCCTTTGCAGTGATGAGCAAGGGGCGGGCCAATCCTCCTGCTTTGATGTCCTCAGGGTTGGTTCTTCCACACCTCCTCCTTCAGGGTCAGCTCTACTGTGTTGTTGATGAGGGGCAGGAACAGCTCTCCCTCTCTTATGGTCTTAGGGCAAGCTCTTCCACTTGCTGAAGTCATTGATGGGCTGTTGGGGGGGTGCTCTCTCTCACCCATTCTGCACATGTCAGATGAGTAATTGCTTACAACAAAGGGCTTGGGTCACCCACATCTCTGCCAACAGGGTCGGCTCTATTGTTCTGCCAGGCCAGGTGCAGGATCCCCTTTTTCGAGTGTTGTAGGTGATAATGGGGAGGGTCAGCCCCCTTGACCACCATAGGTGGCAAGGTGGGGCGCATCGTCTTTCCCTTGCTCTTACCACCACACGGCAGATGAGGGGTGTGGTCTGCTATCACACTCTCAGGGCTATCTTACTGGAACCTCTGCCAACAGGGTCAGCTTTATTGCCTAGGCAAGGAGCAGGGCCCACTCCCCTGAGTGCTACAACTGGTCAAGGGAGGGTCAGCTTGCTCATCTTTTGCAGATGGTAAGGGGTAAAGGGTAAGGGGGACATCTTTCCCCACCCACACCATCGCATGGTAGTGGGGCAGCTCTCCCATGCTCACCCATACCTGGCTGGCTCACCCACACCTACACCAACGGGGTTGGCGCCATTGTGCTGCCCAGGCCGGATGCAGGGCCTGCTCTCCTGAGTTTCACAGCGGGCAGGGTCATTGAAATTTCTTCTTAATTTTCCCATTTATTCTAGGTTCAGCCAGTGTGGACTTGGTCTCAAACTCTAAATTAGTGTTCATCATTAATGACATTTTATCATGACGTGACTAGTCTTCCTTGTAAGACTAGTCCTAACTGTCTTAATTGCACATCCAGTTTCATCCAGAAACTCACTCCAGTTTCATCCAGAAACTCACGCCAGTTTCCTAAGAGTTTCCCTTGGTAGGATACTTCAGGTCAGGCTGTTGTGGACCTCCCTCGAGAGGGAAGCAGCTGCCAGGTGAAGTGAGTGGCAGATAATCGGAAAAAGGACTACATATTTGGGGCAGTGCAGAGGGAATCAAGGTCCAGAACATGCCAGTAGGCAAGGGACATTTTGTGCAGGTAGCCTGGAAACATCTCAGCAGAAGGGCCAGCGCTTGGCTGGGGCTCCCAGTGCACACTCAGGAAGTGAGCACAGTAGCAGCTAAGAGCCTCTTTTCAAACGGGGAAGTGAAAGACAGTGCCACTTTCTCTGAAGGCACTTGGGCATATGTTCAGTTGTCCCCCAGGGAGGCACCATCCTTTTTTCTTTTGCAGGACAAAGAAGATGGAAAGAGAATTTTATGAACTGGAACTTGAGAACGAGTGAATGGGAAATACAAGCAGATGTTGGTTGGCTGGGGTGGAGGGAAGCAGTCCAGATTTCAGATTCAAGTGTAAATAGGTTAGAAATGAACATTAGGTTAGGCATCCTGCCAGAATATACTGTTGCCGCTCGTTCTCTTCATTACACGTGCATTTCAAATTTCCTTTTGTTAACTCAGTTCTCATTTCCAGTTAAACTTCCAATCGTTCAGTGAGGGTCTTATGGAATCCTTTAAGGACAAAGTCCCCAGGATGAGGCTTCCCTTGATTTGCCCGTAGATGCTTTCACTCCAGGTTATTTCTTGTCTTGATGAAATGGCTGTTTTCCTCACCGAGTCAGACAAAATTAAGCACCTTTCCAATTGATCTGTAGCTCTAATGTGTTCCTAGTGATGCTCGGACCAAGGCATGTTTACTCCAGAGCTGCAAGCATGCCCGTTGCTTCCTCCCTGACAAATTAATTGGGAACTCTGGCAATGGTTACAGGAAGATCTTCACATGTAACCCTCCCTATGCATTTAATTTTCAAGTCTTTGATCTATTAGCAGAGAACAACAGGATAGTTGATATGAGGTAGCGGCTGCTCTATGCTGAATGTCTCTGCAAGCTATAAGATATTTTCAGAGCTTTTGGTAGCTTGTCTCTCCTTTCCTCTCTTCCCTCTTTCTTCCTCCCTTCTTCCTTTTCTGAGACTGAATAGTCACTGTTTCCCAGTGGGGAATCTGGGATACTAAAAAAAAAAAAAGTCATTAACAGATGACCGCCTTGTTGAACAAGTCACAGAAAATAACCTTTCATTACCTTGTGGACAAGATTTAAATGCGACATTTATATAGCTGTAAAAGGTAAGAAAGGTTTGACAAGAAATAATGTCATCAATCACAGGTATTTTACCTTTCTGGAAATAAGGCTTATTGAACTAAAATGATAAATAAAAATATGTCCTGGTTTGAAAGAAGTGATCTAGCTGCTGAGACTTTTCTGTTTCTCTTGCTCTAAACATGTCATCAATCTCCCTGCTTGGATGCAGTGCAGCCAGGTGTTCAGCATCACGGGAGACCAAAAAGAGCTAGTTCTTAATGAGTAGGGGACAGACAGGGCTTAAGTATATAAGAAATACAGCCTTACTGAACTGAACTCCCCCCTTTTCCTCCTCTTCTTCCCAGGAATAATTCTGCTACAGGGCTGAATTCAAGGACGTGAATTGTTGACCTCATGCCAACATCAGAACCTCAGATGTCATTCTAATTTATTTGCAAGCTGGCTTTATGTGGAAATAAACTTGAACCAAGGGCCTGTCGGAAATTCACTGTGACGTTCAAATCAAGAAAACTCGCTGAACTCCCCAGAGCCTTTCCCCATGGGCCCTGATGGTAGACTCCAAAAGGTGCAGCCTCAGGTGGTCCCCCTTCTTCTGTGGCAAGAATAAACTTTGGGTCATTGATTGCAATACCACCTGTGGAGAAAATGGTATGCGAGGGAAAGCGCTCAGCCTCTTGCCCTTGTTTCTTCCTCTTGACTGCCAAGTTCTACTGGATCCTCACAATGATGCAAAGGACTCACAGCCAGGAGTATGCCCATTCCATCCGGGTGGATGGGGACATCATTTTGGGGGGTCTTTTTCCTGTTCATGCAAAGGGAGAGAGAGGGGTACCTTGTGGGGAGCTGAAGAAGGAAAAGGGGATCCACAGACTAGAGGCCATGCTTTATGCAATCGACCAGATTAACAAGGACCCCGATCTCCTCTCCAATATCTCTCTGGGTGTCCGGATCCTTGACACATGCTCCAGGGACACCTACGCTCTGGAGCAGTCGCTTACCTTCGTGCAGGCATTGATAGAGAAAGACGCGTCCGATGTGAAGTGTGCTAATGGAGATCCACCTATATTTACTAAGCCCGACAAGATTTCTGGTGTCATAGGTGCTGCAGCAAGCTCCGTGTCCATCATGGTGGCTAACATTTTAAGACTTTTCAAGGTAGGTGATGACATTGTCTTTTCAACCGATGTGAAAGAATCAGGAATCTTTGTGGCTCCACATGTGGGTTTAAAGAAGAAAGTGGAGATGATGATGCCAATAGATACTGTCTGTGTCACCGGGTTCCTCAAATGGGGCATTCTGTGCTAGGTTTCTACCGTGTATGGCTTCAGTTCCTTTCGTTATGATTGATTAAATAGATTAATCCTGGCTGTTTTTCCCCAAAGAGAGTGTTGGTAAGTTCTGTGAAGTGTTTGGTCCTTGCCGTCAGGGGCTAACCTCCCCAGGGAGGCTCACTTTAAGTTAAAGCAAGCATCTTTAGAGAATCATAAGCCCTTCGCACATTTATCATACAGAACACTTCCTCTCTACTCGAGGTACGTGTGAGATAATTTACTTGGTAAAACTTCTTCAAGGCGGGATGCTCTGTTATGACAAAAATTCCTGTGATGAAACGGTATTTATTACTAATGTGTAGATGGTAGTGACATTCTAGGAGACGAGATGGCCATAAAGTTGTCAGGCTTATTGTAACTCGAATAGAGCAGAACCTCATTAATTCAGAATACTGTGATGCAGACTGGAAATAATTACATATAATTCTTATTGAGTTAATAGTTCAAATTTGGTAGGAAGCAATCAAGACATTTTGATTTAGGTTTGATGATCTATTATCTGTACACTTTATAATATTGACTAAAATTGCCAACATAAAATAATATATGTGAAAATACTTTGAAAGTACATAGTACCATAAAAATAAAGTTATTGTAACTCACCACTTTCATTAACTTTCTAATCTTATTTATTAATATCCATTATGTAGTCTTTTGAAATAGACACGGTTTTTAAATTGAAAATACTTTTTACTCTCATTTCTTACTCATTGGGATTTGACTTTTCCAACTGAACCTGAATTAATGAGGCTTTATTTTATATATAAAACTATTCCTATGCATATCAGATTTAAAGTTGGACTGATGACAGATAGAGTGACAAAAACGAACGAAATAATGGAAAACATCACAAAAAAAAGCAGGAAAGGGATCGAATCAAAGGCGTTCTCTTTGGGTAGGTATCTCGGGGGCCAGTTTAGTTTGGTCTGTATTTCATATTGGACTCCTCGTTGTAACATTCCCCAAGAGGTTGCATAGCCTCTGTGTGGATCTCCTTCATTCAAAGTGAGAATGCTAAGAGGCAGTTTAATGGCTCTTTTCAGATTGATGACATCGCTTCAAAGGAGGAGGCTGCTGTCTGTGTCTCATAGAAGCCCCGTGTATAAGGCATTCTGAAGGGGAACAAAAAGGCCTTGGGGAGTACGGGAGACACTTTAGCAAGACATTAGAAGAGTTGCCTGGCAGTGAAAGACCTTGAAATGAGCACTGGCAGCCAGAGGTCTCTCATTCTCCATCTCCGGGAGCCTTGAAGAGAAGCTAGGCAGTTGTAAATAGGGCCCCTAGGGATGACTACCACCTCTCCCAGAGGCAAGACAGAGTGAGGACTCCCACCTACAGGATCTAGCCTTCTTCTCAGGACTTCTGATCTATGCCTCATGGTGTTTCCTGCTCATGGCTAGAGTCCAGACCAGCTATTTCCCCAGCCCTCCTCCTTTCTCCCATTCAATCCCCCTCCTCGCTTGTTCTAAAGCCTTTCTTAACACTGCTAGAGATGAGGGAAACCTTCGTGATGAGTTTCTCCTTTCTGGGATCTTCCTCGTGTATATTAATTACTGCTCTTGTCACCCCATAGTTATTGCTTTTTTCTGTGGTCTGGTTACCATCCAAACACACACAAGAATTTCAAGAGTGAGTGAAAGAGATAAAGTACTAACCTGAGATATTCAAAGCTCATTTATGTTATTATTTTTTGGTCATAGAATGAACTTATCGATAAGAGTATGATGATAGTTCTATATAAGATTGTTGGGTTTCTTTAGTGGGAAAATGCAGGTGACATGCACTGCCAGGCCCTGGCTTTGCCCCGTTTCCTAGGCTGCTGAAGGAAAGTTGATGCCATCTGAAGGCGAGAGGGGGGCTTTTGTTTTATACGGCTGGGCCTGGCTTGCCTCCACTTGGTTTTTCCCTCATTTGACAACACTTTTACTAATTTTGGGTACTTGTAGAGGGATTCTGTCTGATGGAGTGAATTATTCTTGGTTCTTTGAACACAGAAAGACACCTAGGGGTCCCCCTGACTACCCCTTGATGGAACATATAGGGAGGCGCTCACTTTTAGCCAGCAGAGGGCAGTGACTGTGATAGATGATATTGCCACAATCAGCACATTGGAACAGAGAAACATTTCGCTTATGTCTCCATGTTACTACACTGGAGAAACTGATCTCAATCAGCAAAGGATAGCTCCTCCCATCTTTCAGATGAACTTGAAGTACAAGCATTGCCAATCAAATAATTTTACCTTATCATGGTGCTGTCTCCATTTACTTGCATGATTTATGTGTAACCTTCAGCTTGCGCTCACTGTAATTGTAATTAGGAGAAGATGGTGGGCTGTGTATGGGAAAGAAAATGGCCTTCTTTAGTGTGGATGACTTCTGTTTATACCCATATGCTAGGGCTGACATGAAATATTACAATAGTTATCAAAGGAATGCTTGCATTAGAGATTGAGATGCAGTTCCATTTTGAAAAATAATAATTTTCCCATGGCATGAGATGATGAGATGAATGATGAATGAGAGTTAAGTTTTAAGCACGAACCTTAGAACTATTCATAGTCCCTGCAGGACAGCATATGAACCATAGAATCCAAAAGAAACTCCATGCATCCAACTTATCTACTCTTGGTTCTCGAGGGAGGCAGCGCTGTTTCATCTTTGTTTCTCTTATCAAAACTCTGAGGCAAATGAGAAAAATCAACTCCTTAATTTAGAGGAGAGCTAGACAGGGACTTGGAGCAGGGAGTTCTTGGAAACAGGAAATGCCCACATATCATTGAAGCTCCCCCAGAGGAGTGGTCTTCAGTCTGAAGGCAAGTAGGTACAACTTAGGCCACTTTCCTCCTCACCTCCAAGAAACCTTTGCAAAGTTCAGGGCCTGTGAATGAGTATAAGCCCTTGCTCTCCTCTGGGGATTGTATTCACCAAGAGAAGTGGACATGACTCAACATTCCTCAGAAATGTCAGAGTGGAGTTGGGCTTGAAAGCCGCAGAATCAGATTTTAATGCTTTGAACTTTATAGAAGCATTGCTATGCACACATGCAAGCACACACACACATTCACACACCCACATGCACACACAGGCATACATGCACACACACGTGTGTACACACACATGTACACATACACACACATTCAAACACACACACACACACACACACACACACACACACACACACACTGTTATCAGCACAGTGGCTGTCTATGTGACCTCTACAGCAAGTTGATGGCCTTAGATAATGGCACTATCAATTGGGATATTGTGTAATTATGAAGTAGTAGCGCTCCTTTGATTTCAAGATAAAAATGGTGTGTCTGGGATTCTGAACCTTAGAAAACTCAGTGAAGACAGGGACTTAAAATGAATTTCAAAATCAGATGTCTTTTGGAAACTTTGACTGACATGCCCAGAGATGAAATTTGTTTATAAAAAGCCCAAATGGTTTTCCTTCTTTAGAATGTTCCCCAACTTCTTCTTTGAATGGGAGGAAATCAGTTTCTCAAAACACACTAAACGTATGTCTTACTTCCAGTAAAGATTGAGTTTCCTAGGTGAAAGGTGACACATTGACACCAGAGTAACTCTCATTAATGTCCGCAAAGACACATGGGTTACAAGAGGACAGTGTCAAGTGCAGTTTCTCTCTCTCCTGTTTGGCTAGTTAGCTTTACCTGGATTGTTAATTTCCCATTCTTGAAGAATGGGCTTCAGCCAGCCTGTGCTGTGCCCTCCCAAAGCAATCAAATGAAATGTCAGTAGAAATCATTTGTGTGAGGGCTAGATGATTTCTCTCCATGTGGATTTGTGCTTTTTAATCATTTAGTTATAAATGACTAACAACGATCTTTACGTTGAGCAATGAAATACAAAGAATTCTCTCATTCTCCTGCAAGTTTTGTCTACTTCACAGTGTTTATGAAGACATACTTTTCCAAGAGGCTCAGCTATACCAACTGCTAAAGCCGTGCATCTTGTGAGTTATTTATTGCCACAATGGGTTTTATTAATTATAAACAGTGAAAGGCAAATTTGCCATGTTCAGGCTCATCTAGTTAGAATGGATGGGTAAGCGAGCAAGCACATTGAATAGATTCTGCAGGAGGTAACATTTCATGTAAATCCCGTTTGATAACAAATAAACACTGGGAAGTGGAAAGCGAGACTCCCTCATACAGTCCTGTAGTTTTAAGCATCTTTGCTTGTAAAAGAGCACACCCTCTTTTGAGTTGGAAGGTGGCCACTCTTTTACAGTGGCCGCTGGGCTGGCAATGGTGTCAACCGAGAAAGAGCACTTCAGATGTGCAGTAGGAGACTTCTATATCACAGCAATGTCACTTGTTAATGTCCTCCCCCCAACCCTCTGAGAGCCATCTTCCCTGCACCCTAGGACAAAGGCCTACCTCTGCTAAGCAAAAGCATCCTGCTTTGCTTGGTGAGGTTTACAGAGAGGCAGCCTTTACATCTTCTTCTTGGTGTCCATGCTACACTGTTGTACTTGTTTGCCTGTCTATATCCTCCACGAGACAAGCACCGAGCGGGCAGGTTCCATTTCTTTGTTATTGGCAATTTATTTCTAGTCCCTAGTCTCACTCTGTGAGACTAATAAACATGTGAATGAACGAATCAACCATATCTTCTACTCATTTAGCCCAATACCAAATACTGGAAATAATATTTAGTTAGATAGGAAAATAGAAATCAAATTTCTGTGTACACTCTCAGGAAAGGGAATAGAAGGGGAAGAAGAAAGAAAGGCATTCCTATTTTCATGTGCTCCCTCACACTCCTACGCATTCCCGTCTTCTTTAGGTAGACCCTT